AAAACTGGACAGAGCAAAGCACGATTGAAATCTGTGAATATGTGTATTTATGAATTTATCAACTAAGGGTGGGAAACAGATGCAACCCACTCTTAGAGAAGTGCTTTTTTACATATTTTGAATAACATATACATTCCAAGTAACTTCATTGGAAATATCATAGGACATCTGTGAAGGCTGTCAGTTCTCTGGTGGCATGTTTCTATAGGCTTACCTATGTGAAACAAGAGAGCAAAATTCAAAACTCCCAAGACTAACCAAGATTGGAGACCTATTTATTTTTACCTAACTCTCATTTCTACTTTTTTTTTTTTTTTTTTTTGCTAAAGTCAACTTAAAACATTAGCATAGAGAAGAGCACAGGTGATTTATCTTTCTTTATAAGTTACATGTCATCCAGACACTTCCTTTTTCATATTATCTTTATTAATAATATAGCATTTTGAAGGATTTAAATTTGAATTGCTTTTTATGATTCTCTCACTGCTCTGTTTCATCCATGAGAAATATTTCTTTAAAGGGACCAGCAGTATGTAATACATAATAAACATTATGGAATTGCTGTGATTTAATGCTAAATTGATTAAATGCTTATTCTGTATAATTAAATTATATGTATACTTATATAGTCAATAATTTTACAGTATTTACATTATTTATCTTTATTCTTTTCTTTTGTTTTCTATATTGCTTCATTTTAGTTTTTAGTACTTCTCTACCTTAAGAGAATTTAAGCAGGGTAATGTGAAATTGTGTATTATTATAATGTTAAACATTTCATGCTTACAAATATTTTCATTCTTCATGCTAAACTTATTGTCTCAGATGTATAAGATTTATTCTTGTTTCAGCATATGTTAAAAGGACCATGTGGTAAATATTTTAGTGATTTGACTACATTTTCTTTGTTTCTTTAGTTCTTTGAGTGTCCTGAAGGATGGGCATAGGAAATAAATGTTCAACAAAATAGTCACAAATGTGTACTTGTCTCATCTCTAAAACACTAGCAAAACCATATATTTGCAAAAATTTCTGTTAAAACAACAGAGCTAGAAGTGCAGAGTCTTAATTTGGTAGAACTTAATGCGCCGTGCGTCTTTTTTTTTCTTCGTTTGATTATAGGCCTAGTTGCTTGACATTTACATACAACTTTGATAGCCATCTGCAAATCACATGTGTTTGATGGCAAACCTCATTGCATTTTGAGGTGAAGTTTTTGAGAGCAGCAATTTAACTTAAAAGAAAATTTACAATTCTTTTACCACAAATAAGGTCCCAATTTTCAGTCTTTAAATTACATTTAATTATAGTCCAATTGGATTGTGAACTATAAAAGAAAAAAGAGATGTAAACACAAGCTTGAGTATATGCATTTTAGTCATGAGCTTTTTTGACTGAAGGTATAAAAATAGATTTCAAATCTTTTAATAGCCATGTCGTTTTCTAGATTGTAAATGAAAAAGTAAGCACTGCTATATTTGTAAGGAGTGCTTTGAATATAAAGCATTTACTTTGAGAGAAAATATTATATTTTAACAAATCTGATTGGAAAAATAAATTCATTAAAAAATATTAGTTACCAAAATGAGAAAGACTTAATCTACACTGTTGCTATAAACACTTCTGAAATAGGTTACTGAGGGAAAATTTAGAGTATGGATAAAATCATTTTAAAAATAAATATTCAAAAAGTTTATGAATTTTATATCTATACTTAATGACCCTTATATTCTTAATAAAATTTGTCTATATGGGGACATTGATCTAAATCCTTCTGTATTTTTAGTGAATATACTGATGGCAAATTGTGCTTAGCAAAGGTAATGATTATTTCATATATGTTAACAGCCAACAGCAGTTTCAAATACTAGCATCCAGAAAGAGATAACATGTTTCTATATAGAGTGCTTACTTCTGAGGAAAATTTTGGCTCTGAGAAGAATGTCAGCATTAAATTTTGTAATTAAAATCATAAATTCAATATTTTACAAATATTTTGAATATTTCAGGACAAAACAAGTTGTTCTTTAACCTTAATAATATTCTAACAGCTATGTGACCCTTGACATTAAGTATCTTTTAAATTCAAAAGGTTTCTGGGAGCAATATTCTTAACTTGTATTCTATCAATGTAAAATAATGCTAACATATTCTGACTACCATATGTCCTAAATGAAAAGTTGCTGCAATTACTGTAATTAGTGCTGAAGACTGGGGACAAAAAGAAATACCCATAATCCAAACAGCTTTGTGCATGGTAGTTGTATTAGTAGTCTCATGTTATGGAAGAAATTACAACAAATTTAGCAGCTTAAAACACTCTGTATTAACTCTCAGTTCTGTAAGTCAAAAGTCTAGGCACTGCTTGACTGGACATCTGTTCAGGGTCTTTTACAAGACTAACATCAAGGAATCAACCAGACTAGATTCTTCCTAGAGGTTGTGGAGAAGAATCTGTTTCCAAGGTCATTCAACTTCCTTGATGTTTTAGAACTGAATTGTTCTTTTTATTGCTAGCTATCAGCCTTAGTCTGCTCTTAGCTTCCTGATGCATCCCACATCCCCTGGCTCATAGCCTCCCTTATCAGAGCTATCCACAAAGAATCTTCTTCCTTCCTCTCACACTTTGAATTTCTCAGAGTTTAAGAAGGGTTTAGTTCAGTGAACTCAGTGATTAGGTTAGACCACCCAAATAATTTGCCTTTCGATTAATTCAAAGTCATCTAACCTAATTATGGGAATAATATCTCATCAGATTCGACACAGTCCAGGAGAGGACTACATAAGGATGAAAGGCATTGGGGATCTTTATAAAATTCTGCCCACCACATAGAAAGTGAGATTCCTGGTATGAAATCAAGAAGAGAACATACAGAGTTTACATTATTGAGTAGAGATACAAGATTAGCAAATTGGTTAGCTAGAGACTCAGTAACCTAGTAATGAAGTGAGAAAAATGAAGAAGAAATGACAGAAAATTATAATAGGAAAAAAAAGGAAAAGAGAAGAAAAATGTTGAGTTTAATCTAGAATGTCATGATTTCGTAGATTTAATAAGATCAGTGCTGCACAGTTTGATATGACACAACCAAGGGGAGTGAGTATGGTGAGATTTGTCCTATTTTGGAAAGTAACTATGCATATATAAGAAATTGGATGTTGGGAGATGGGCAACTGGATGAATAATAGTGGTTATAAAGTAATGATACTGTTAACCTCTCCATGATCTTAAAGTTCAGTGTTGTGCAGCATTTCTCTAAATTATGAAAATTAATGAGGCATTGCTATAGTTAAAATAGTTGTCCCGATATATTATGATTATATAAAATTTGCACCATAAAATTGTCAGATATCCTGCCATGCACAATAACTTCATGTGTTTAGGGTTCAGTGTAGGGCTTGAATTTTTTTTAAATAAAATTATATAAATTGAATAAAGTATATTTACATTTTTTCCTTATTCGAGTTAAGCATACTTAAATGGATTTTTCATGGCCTGAAGACTATTCCTAGATATATTTTGAGTGGTTAAATGACTGCTTATTTTATAAATATCAATTGTAGATTTTATCTCATTACTAACTCTCAACTGGATGAATATAAGAATATTCTTTTCGCCGGGCTCAGTGGTTCAACCTGTAATCCCGCGCCTTTGGGAGGCTGAGGTGAGTGGATTGCCTGAGCCCGCGGGTTCGAGACCCGCCTGGGCAGCGAGACCTCATCTCTACAATAAATCAAAAAATCAGCTGGGCGTGGTAGCGCACGCCTGTAATTCCGGCTACTTGGAAGGCTGAGGCGGAAGGATCGCCAGAGTCCAGCAGGTTGAGGCTGCGGTGGCCGGGAGCAGCCACTGCACTCCAGTCGGGGCGACAGAGTGAGACTCCAACTCAAAAAAAAAAAAAAAAAAAAAAAAGAATATTCTTTTCTCAGAAATGCCAATTTGCCCTCCCCCTCAATTCTCTCCCCAACATTCTAATCAAAAGAAGGAGAAATATTATTAGGCAGCATATTTTAGCATTATATAAATGTAAAAAGATTCTATACCTAGTAAATTTAGAAGGCATTTTGTGCTATATTCTCTCTTAGAAATTTAAAATTTATATTTAGGCACTGAGAAGTCCTGCAACATATTGTATATTTTAATATTTTTTATGTAAGGCTAATCATTCTCTTAATAGAAATTGAGACCATTAGTTTGACCTTGTTTTACTTTTTTGGGTCATTTAAGATAGGATATTTAGTAATTCCACTTCATGTGAAACTTTTAACTTGTATTAAATACTTTTTTTTGGAAGTTGTGGGCCCAAATAATAAGCTATTATTAAGATAATTTTGTCAGCTCAGTTTCTAAAGCTTTAAGAATAAAGAAAAAGCTATAAATGATGTGTGATATGCTATGCTAATTGATATTTCAAAGATCAGCGGGAAAAGCTGACAACTTCCTTTTAAAGTCATCCACTTTTGTCTCTTTTATCCTCACATTTCTTTTTTCTCAACTATCTTGATACCCTTCATATTTTGCTATATGTAAAATTAATGCAAATCTTTAAATAATTAGATGACTAGCTCTGAAGTTCTTATTTTAAAATTAAGAAATTTTAATCATTATTTATATTTTTAAAATAGAATTTTATCAAGTTTATTTTTATTCTATTATGATTGTATTCTAATGTGATAATTTCTCAGAAATTAGAATCTTGACTCAGCTTTATTATAATTTTAGAATCCAAAAGAGTTAGTAGTTGACGTTTCAATAATTAAATAAAAAAAACTAATTTTCTATGTTTTTTCAAGTATAAATATGTAGGAGTTTTTATCCAATAATGTTAAACTAATTTTTTTTCTGGATCAATTCTGGAAAGAGGGGTGTTTGACTTCTTTCATATAAAACACAATCAACACTTGTCTGAGGTAAAATATGAATAATAAAAAACATTTATTTTGAAACCTATAATTTTTGAAATGTTTGTTCTAAAGTTATGCCTATGTTTTTGCTTTAGGAGTCCAAGATCCCCAGCATGAGAGAATTATTACTGTGTCTACTAATGGAAGTATTCACAGCCCGAGGTTTCCTCATGCTTATCCAAGAAATATGGACTTAGTATGGAGATTAGTAGCAGTAGAGGAAAATGTATGGATACAACTTACTTTTGATGAACGATTTGGGCTTGAAGACCCAGAAGATGACATATGCAAGTAAGTTATGATACTTGTAATTCCAACAGAGTGTAACAACTGTCAGAGTCTTTCAGGTTGCTTCATTTTGATGATCTGATTTTAAGTGATATCTTTTGTTTTGTTTTTCTGATTATCTAAGAAGTATACTTTTTTTTCAGAAGTTATGGGCCCAAATAATAAGCTGTTATTAAGGTAATTTTGACAGTTCAGTTTCTAAGCTTATTGTTTAAGCTATACTTCACTTACAACTTTCATTTAAAATTTAAAAACAGCTACATGTACATATGTAATCATTATTTTCTACTTCTAAAATTATTTGAGATAAATAATGGTAAAAATTATATATAAACTAAAACCGCTTAAAATAAGGAATAGAGAATTTGAAACTGCAAAAAGGAATATGCAGAAAACTTGTTGCCTTTAGTGCTAAAAATCTTATATTACAGCTTCCTTAATAGCCGATCCATAAGATAAGCAATAAACTATTCAATAAAAAAACTGTATCTCTGGATACGTATCACCTAGATTCAAATATGGATACATACACACATAGACATCAGACTAAGAAGTTTGAACATTTCATCACAAAGAAGAAACACAGTTCTGAAAGCAGAATTAGAAATTTAGGCTAACGTTATTTCTTGCTAGGTAGGAATTCATCATGATTCTCCTAGACGCATTCATGAGCCAAAGTCAGCTGGAGTATTTCACCCACGCCAAAGACCACCTACTGTATGTCATACAAATATTACTCTTTAAATCCCGTATGAATACACTTGTCAAGGTTGGGTGGTCTTACTAAAGATTTTTCACTTCAATGGCATTTGTGTAGCATGAAAATATTTTACTTGAACTTCTTTGCTGGGTTTTTTATTTTCTCTTTGATATACAAGTTAAAAGAGAATTTTCGTTTCATGGTATATTACAGATAAATATTTCAATACAGATGAAATAAACTTTGTATTTGCTGTCATCACAATCTGTATCATTAGCATTTACATGGTTACATTTTTTCACATTTGTTCTTTCTGTAACTGCGCATTTCATGTTGTTCTTTCTTCTTGTGTTTCCAAGAGAACGAGGGGAGAGAGGAAATTTTAGACTTTGAGAGCTAGAAACTATCCTATCTTTAAAGACTGTGATGTTCAACTTTTCATTTTAGCGATAAGGAAACAGACCAGAGGAGTAAAGTAACCGCCCTAGATCTCATTCACATTTTTACCTAAACAAATGCTAAAGCCCATTTTCCCTGACACTTATTTATGTAGCATTTCACCATACTATACTGCACATTTTGTCCTTGGTTGTATTTTTAATAAATAATATTATTTTCAAAATTGCAAGAAGTCTAAGATTTTGCCTTACATGCAAGTAGTAAGTTAGCCTAATATAGTTTTGTGGATACTAGTATAAGACAAGAGACCCTTGGGTCAGAGACAACAGACTTTATTGCAACAATAGCAGTAGCTAGACTATTAGCATTTTCTTGTACTTTCTCTGAATTCTGGTTCCCACAGGTACAAACCAAAAGGACCATATGATACCTGAACAACTAGTGGGTTGTGTTTCAAAAGATGAAGCATTATATTTGTGTGTATATATGTTTATGAGTGTATAATGTATATTATTAATTAAATAATCCCACATGCCTCACCAGCATGTGACACAAATTTACCCAGCAAACACTCAACTTAAGAAAAGTAATACTTTTAGTAGTTATCAAGTTCACTACCCATATTCTGCCATGATTACACCTTTTTCTAGTACCTGAAAATATAATCATTGACCTGAATTTTGTTACTCATTCTCCTGATTTTCTCTATAATTTTGCAACATGTACATACATCTCTATGTGCATTCGTAAAAATACTTTATTTTTTGCCTGTTTTGAAATATGTATCAATGTATTAGTACTATGCATTTTTAATAATACTATACAATTCAAACAAGCAAAACTGAAAAATAGTATGTTTTCAAACATAGTTCGTTTAGGGGCAGATAGCTGATTAGGTCCGTAGTTTTCCTTGATGTATAGTATTTCATTGTATAAATAACCAACATTTTTTGTCATTCAACCTTGAGGACTGTTTAGCTTGTTTCCAGTTCTCCTTGGGCAAAATGCAAGAAAACTTTGCGTCTGTATCTAAAAATGGTTTTACTGTCTTAAAATATTCATATTTTTAACTTTACTAGGTAGAGTTAGCTTGTTTTTTAAAGTGATCAGTTTACACTTTTCCCAAAAATACACAAAAAACTTCTATTGCACAGGATTTTCACAAACTATTACTCTGTCTTTACAAAAATTGCTAAAATGCTAAATGTGAAATTTTACCTTAGTATTAGTTTTCATTTGTGTTTCTGATTGCTAATGAGGTTGAGCCATTTTCATATTTATTACTGGCCATTCATATTTCCTTTTCTGTGAAATGCCTGCTTTTGTCTTTTACCCACTTTCTATTGTACTGTTTGGCTATTCTAACTTTGTCTTTCATTTTCTTGATTCATCTAGGATTTATATTTTCTATGGTAGGAAGTTTTTCAGTGGGGTGCCCAATGGTATCCCAACATCATGTATTGAATGGTTATACCTTCTCCCAGTGAAGTGCAAAGCAAGCTAGCCTGTAGGGCAGGTTTCTTTATGTAGTCTGGTCTGTTTCTGGACTCTGTTCTGTTACTTTGGTCAACCTTGTCTATCTTAATTGAATGTCATTGACTCAGCTATTGTAGCATTATACAAGCTTTATGATATGAAAGTCTCACCTTATTTTCTTTTCCTTTGGGAGCATCCTGGCTATTTTATTTTTTAATATATTCTTTAGAAATAGGTTGTATGTTTTCTTGAAAACTACCTTGTCATTTTTACTGCAAGAACATTGAATGTATAGATCATTTTGAAGAGAATTGACATTATAATAATCATGATTCGTTCTGTCCTTAAGAATTTTGCATTGCTCTATTTATATTCTATCTTTGATGTCCATAAAGTTTCAAATTTTTTTTCATAAAGATGTTGCACATTCATTGTTTAGAGTTATTTCTAGATTCCTTATAGAGTATACCTAAAATCTCTCTTTGAAATGACATTTTCTGATTTATATTACTGGTGTATAAGAAATGCAATCTATTTTTTAGTATTGATCTTACATTTTGAAAACTTATTAATCTCTTATTTATTTTATAATTGTTCTGGAAATTATTTTGGATTCATGCAAAAATAATATGGTTTGTAAAAAAGGATGTCTCTCTTTCAATATCTTTTATCTTATTTTTAAATTTTGTTATTTACATAGGTATGCTGCATGAAGGTGAAATTTAGGCTTTCAACTGACTCTCCTCCCCCTGGTAGTAGACCTGGTACCCTTTGTGTTGTCACATGCCCCTTACCCTCTTCCCTCCCTCCCTCTCTCCCCTAACAGTGCCCAGCATCTGTGGATCCCTCCCTTGTGTTCATGTGATTATTGTTTGGGGCCCACTTATGAGTGAGAACATGAGATATTCAGTTCTCTGTTTCTGTGATAGATCATTTAGTATGATGGTCTCCAACTCCATCCAATTTGTTGCAGAGTTCATGATTTTGTTCTTCTTTATAGCTGCATAATACTCCATTGTGTATATGTACCATATTTTCTTTATCCAGGACACTTTGAATGGACAGTAAGGTTGCTTCCATGTTTTTGCTATTGTGAGTAGTGCAGCAATAAACACACATGTGCAAGTGTCTTTTTCATAGAACAAATTATGTCCCTCTGGGTATATACCTAGAAGAGGGATTGCTGGATCATATGGAAAGTCACCTAATGGTTCTTTTAGGAATCGTCACGCTGCTTCCCATAGAGGTTGAGCTAGATTGCACTCCTACCAAAAATGTGGAAGTGTTTCCTTTTCACTGCACCCACACCAGCATCTGTTGTTTTTTGACTTATTAATGATAGCCCTCCTTACCAGAAGTAGGTGGTATCTCATTGTAGTTTTTGATTTACATTTCTATGACAATTAGTGAGGCACGGAGCATTTTTTTCATGTATCTGTTGACTGCTTGTATGCAAATATTTGTCCTTTCTGCCTTTCTTCCATCAATCCATCCATTCATCCATCATTTATATCAGTACAAATTCATGAATATTTGTTTGATAATTTTTGTTACAATACAATACTGTCATTATTTGCTTTGTTATTGAAAGTGGTCATCTTTTGTGATTGTGAGTAAATGTTCATTGTTTACGTGTTAATGTTGAGTGTGATGATTGATGGCGATTTTGTTTTGTTTTTCTTCAGTTTTCTTCATCATGTGAAGTGCTTCTCTTCCATTTTTACTTTGCTAAGAGGCATTTTCCACTTATGGAAATTATTTTTATTTTTTTGCACTTAAAAATAAGTTGCCAGTATTATGATACTTTATACTCACCATGTATTATATAACAAGGATTTTTCCAATGTAACATCAATACTATTATCACATGAAAGAAGCTTAATATTAATATAAAACTATTACTCCGGTGTTTACCATGCTCCCAACATTTTTTATCACTTATTTCTCCTTTTAAAAATTTTTTTTGATTCAGTAGTACATCATAGATTATATATTGCGTTTGGTTATTGTAACTATTTGGTCTTTTTCAGTTTGTAAGTTCCCTTGCCTTTTCTTAGTGATCATGATGTGATATTTCAAACAATTCCGGAGTATTTGTTCTGTTTGTCTGGAGATGTCTTCATGTTAGGTCCTGCTTACAGATATTGGCCAGAATGTTGTCTATGCGTTAAGTACTCCTCACTGCCTGTAATATCAGCTTGTTGCATTATCAGTGACAAGAGTTTGATGTCTGCCCACCAGACTTCTCTGTTGTAAATGTACTTTGTTCTCACATGCTATAGTTAATAAGCGATCTATGGTGGTGTACTTTAAAAGCATGTGAATTTTGTTTTGCAGCAACCTATCACCCAACTGTTTTAGCATCTACTTATGAATTCTGCTTTTATTGTCAATCATGCATTTTAATTTTTTCGGCATTTCTTCATTT